TCCTTCCTTCCTTCCTTCCTTCCTTCCTTCCTTCCTTCCTTCCTTCCTTCCTTCCTTCCTTCCTTCCTTCCTTCCTTCCTTCCTTCCTTCCTTCCTTCCTTCCTTCCTTCCTTCCTTCCTTCCTTCCTTCCTTCCTTCCTTCCTTCCTTCCTTCCTTCCTTCCTTCCTTCCTTCCTTCCTTCCTTCCTTCCTTCCTTCCTTCCTTCCTTCCTTCCTTCCTTCCTTCCTTCCTTCCTTCCTTCCTTCCTTCCTTCCTTCCTTCCTTCCTTCCTTCCTTCCTTCCTTCCTTCCTTCCTTCCTTCCTTCCTTCCTTCCTTCCTTCCTTCCTTCCTTCCTTCCTTCCTTCCTTCCTTCCTTCCTTCCTTCCTTCCTTCCTCCCCCTCCATTCTTTTATTTTATTAATAATTTGTTATTTATTCATTTATATAATTATATGATTTTTATTATAAAATTTCTACAATGAAGAATTTTATAAGACTAAAGTAGAAATCCTGAATTATTTTATTAGTCAATATCATAATTCTGACTTTTCATATGATTAATTGGTCTTACTACATACCCTATTACTCAGAAGCAGCTGGCTTAATTGAAAGGTGGAATGGTTTACTGGAGATTGAGTTACAGTTATAGTTGGGAGGCAACACTGTGCTAGGATAGGGCTTTGTTTAACAGGATTTAGCATGTGCTTTGAATCAGAGACCATTATATATTACTGTATCCCACAGAGCCACAGTACATGGGTCAGGGAATCAAAAGGGGGCATAGGATTGGCTCCTCTTACTATTACGTCTAATAAATACACTAACAGACTTTTAGATTCTCATTCTGGCAACTTCACGCTGTTTGATTTTGAGATCTTAGTCTCTAAAGAAAGCTTCCACCAGGGGGCAAAAATGACTCCATTCAATGGATAATGAGAATACCTCCTGGACATTTTGGGCTCCTTAGCCACTGAACCAACATGAAAGAAAAAAATCTATTGGTTGAAGTGATCAGTCCTGATTAACAAGAAGAAATTGGATTGCTTCTACACAATGGAAGCAAAGAATAGTGTGCTTGGAACCTCTTAGTACTTTCATGGCCAATGGCAAAGCTAATGGGAAACTGCAGCAACCAGAACAAAACAGGACAATTGAGGGTGCAGATCTTCCTAGTACAAAGGTTTGGGTCACTTAACCATGCCAGAACCCCGACCAGCCAAGGTTTTGGCTGAAGGCAGTGGAAATACGAAGTAAGAATGGACAAAGGAGGTCATAGATATCACCTATAGCTTTGTGACCCACGAGAGAAACAAAGACTGTAGTACTTCTGCATATTTTTTATTTGCTTGTTATATATGTATGTGCTTATTTGTATATGCTAAATGTCTTTTTCTCTCCTTCCCAATTATAGTCTATTTACATTTGTTTGAAAATTAAGTTTCCAATGTAGCCTACAGGTAATAAAATTTTCAGAGGGACTTTGCCTGAATTTGAAGATTATTAATATGAGTGATGGCACAATTGCAATTGTACATTTCCTCATTTAGGGGGAATGGTGAGAAGTTCTTCAGTCATAAGAAGGGTAGCTGTATCATGAAGGAGGTGAAGATACAGAACTGTTTCATTGCAATATGTGTTTCAAATGTGTATAGAATATTGCATATAGAAGTTGAGTAGTCAAAGGTGTGGATTGATTTATTGACTTTCAGTTCCAAATTATCTTTGCTTGTTCTGTGACAATAGACATGGGCCCTTCAAGTATTTTCCTGTGC